GGTGCGCAGCGGACTCGGTCGTCTCCGCGGCGACTGCAGGCGGCACCGCCAGGCCCATTGTTGGAAGAGCAGCCACTCTAATAATGGTCAGCTGGGTCAGCTGCAGGTGTGGGCGCGCCGCGGTGCCGGCTTTTAGCTGTTCAAGTTGACGCTAAAGCGGCGGCGGAGGCTGGACTCTGTGGGACTCTATAGGCTCACCGCACTACATCTGTGGCCGATAGGTTGCCTAAGCCCCGGGCGGCTAGAGGCGTCAGGCCACCAAAGGGTCGGGACGGTCGATGCAGACAAAGCGGATTTTCCGAATTCTATTTTCCTACTATTGCCTGTCCGCTGCCATCTGCGGCCGTGAGGTGTCGGGAACGTGTTGAGGGTGTACCCGCCTCCGGGCCACTTTAGCTTCTTCTCCAGGGCGCCCTAAATCCGCACCAGGAACCTGCGTAGCGTAAGGCGGGCACTATCCGGGCACCTTGCTCTGCGCGCATGAAAATAAAAAGTGCCTCTGCCTGCCCGGAGCGTCCGTGCCTGCCCTCCTGCCCTGCCTGGCTCTCTCGCACCAACGCGTTTCGCCGCCTGTGAGGTGCCCGCGGGGGTGCCCGGAGGTGCCCAGAGGTGCCCAGAGGTGCCCGGAGGTGCCCGGAGGTGCCCGTCGTTAGGCGGGCTCTTGCGGTGGCAGTTTATGGCAGCGCTTGGATCGCACCCACACAGGGGCTCACTACATCGTGATCGCACCTAAAAGGTGCCCAATGCCGCCCGCCCTACGCAGGCCCCTATCCGCACCCTGCAAACGACCAATTTGCATCAGAAAATGCTGCACCTTGTCAAGATGTGCTTGAAAAATGGTCTTTCCTATAGAAAAGTAGTCCAACATTGAGTGAGTGAGTAGTCGCACGCAGCGAGCGAGCCATCGTCACGTCACTGGCCGCGTGGCCGCAAAACGTCCAAAAAGTCAAACACACACACACACACACACACACACACACACACACACACACACACACGGCGGGCGGAGCAGGATGTGACGCACTCAGAGTCTTGTCATGTTGCCCGCGCGTGCAACACTGTCGGCATCGAACTGTATTTGTCCAATTTTCACGCATGCACACATGCACACTTTAAAACCAAGTGTCAACCATGTACACACGGTATTTACTGCACTTGTGGATTGGGGCGCGTCGCGGCAGGACCAAACACTTGCGCTAGACAATGATGGCACCAACAACCGCGATATCAAGCCTCAATGTGGAATTTCAACTGCAGAGATAAATGTTAGTCAGGCGCGGTTTTAAGTCCTTCTGACGGTGGGGGCGATTTGCTGTGGGTTGCCTACTTTCAGGGGTTTTGTAGGGAAAATTGCATACCTAGCCTAAAGGGGCGTTTTGGCCCCAATAAAACCGCGCCTGATGTCCCTGATGTTAGTGCCAGGGGTCCACATTCCTGCCAGCAAACGGGCGTTTCCTTCCTTTCTGAGGCTCTACAGACAGAAGAGCAGTCACGCACGTGCGCCGGCTCTGCCGTCTGATGAAGTGCAGTACTACCGTCGTCACATCCGTCTCACGTCCGCTAACGTCACCGATCGGGCCCAACACTCTGCAGCCTTCGAGATAAAGGTTGGGCGAGGTTGGGCCGAAGTGGGACGCTTTGGACGGGGTCGGTACCTCACCTCAGTTCGGCGACAGGGCAGGTTGAACTTGGGGCTAGTTTTTGAAAGATTTGCCAGTTTATTGAGCCTGGAACCTGCATTCGTCTTCGCCATGCAAGCCCCCGAGGAGGTAGGCAACTCAACGTGCACACAGGCGCGGTATAAGGACCGGCTGACAGGGGGGGTGGGATTTACTGTGGATTGCCTAAATACAGGGGTTTTGTAGCATACATTGCCTACCTTCCAGGCTGCTCACTGGAGACCGCGCCTGCGCGCCCGCTTGACGGACGATGTCCGCAGTCGACAATTTCCCTTTTTTCCCGCATAATCCCCCCTTCTCTCAATGTCCGCAATCGGCAGTCCAGGTGCCTACTCCCTCAGACATGTCGACGTACACTCGATAGCACCCCTACCGGCAAAACCGTCTTGAGCTGTAGTCTCTTGCTTTGCGGATCAAACCCCATCCGTTCTCGAGTAAATGAAACGTTTTCGACCATAGGATCAATGCGCTTCGCTATCGCTCCGTCAATAATGTGAGCCGCTTTAGCCCTCTACCCCCCCCCCCCAAA